GAAGTTTTTATCAATGTAATATATTTTTATATATTTTAATATTATTAAAACGTTATTTTATTCGCATCAAAAAGTGAACACATTTGACATTTTTGGAGTTATAAACATACCATACAGATTTTAAATTTTTGTTGTTTTCATCGATTTAATTTTTTTTATTCTAGCGTACCGGAAATAATCATGCATTTAGTTTATTAATAATTGCGGTACATTATCGTGTTAAGATATTATTTACTCTGAAAATAAAACGTAATCGAGAAACCATCAATATACTATTTAAGGCATACATGTATTTGAAAAAGGAAATATTACTCTTATGACAAATATATTTAATCATTTAATAATTCTTTAAACTATTAATAATTATTAAAACGTGATCGGTGTAATTGTTGTCCTTATATTATTATGTTTTATGCTATTTTAATGCAAAATACTTTTGTTTTCACGTTAATTAAAGCATAAACATTTTGAATGTATTTGCAATGCCTTATAAATTTAATTAAAAACTACAAAACTATAAACATTATTAAAGAATTAAGTAAAAGAAACTCCACATATAGATCCAACGAAAACTACTTATATAGGTAATAATTTATTTACTTTTATAAAAAATAATAGAAAGACAATAAATACTCCGATTTTTATATAATACTTTTTAAATTCTAATATGAAGGTTTACTTAAAGGTTTGACATATTTGGTACATAAGAAGAGCATCGGTAAGGTTTTTCATGAAATGCATGAAAAACTTACGTTTTTATGAAACACTTTTAAATATGGAGCTCGTGAATAAAGATTTTCTTTCGTGCAAGCACGTTTGTGCGCTATGACAAAGGAAAGTTAAGAGAAAATATTTTCAACTTTGACATGAATCTGTAATTCCTGTGCCAGTACATATTTGTGTTGTGACAAACAATAAAACCTAGAAAATTCCTTCGGGAACATTTCGCATAAACTCAATGTTTTTTCTAAGCGAGTTCACGGACGATTTTTCGAATTTTTTTTCTTAAAACATTTTTCAACGGGTGTTGCACGAATGTAAGTATTAATAGATGCACTTTGAAATTAATTTTATTCAGTTTAAATTCAAGTATGATTGATTGAATTTTTATTTCTAAAATACAGATTTGAAATATCAATATGTGTGACTACAATTTATTTAGGTCGAGATATTTCATCAATTTTAAAAAAATTAAGAACAATATATTTATGTTTTCAAATTTAAATTCCAGCGTATGAAATTTAGATTATGTTATTTTATATTCTTATTACGTATTGCTCTACATAATTGTTCACTCCATTTCTTGGAGAGCTTCATTTTATTTAAAATTCATCGTAAAATATGTTGATTAGAAATTGAAATCGAGTATATGTATTTTATCGCGTGGGCATTGAATTATTTATTTGTAAGCATTGGACTTTAATCGAAAAATGAATTAAGCAATTAGCAATATAAATTATATAGACATTGCAATAGTGTATCTGTCGCATCCATATCACGTTATTGTACGTTTCGCGAAATGGACAAGGTTTTCATCTATTTTGCGAAATGGAACCGCGGTTTCTCCACTTCACGTAATTACACAATATGGATAATATTTCGTGAAATGGTTCCCTTAACCATCATTGATGGAACATGTTCCGTCGTTTTGATGTCCATATAGCAAAAATTAAAAAAAAAAAACTTTAATTTCTATATGTTATGTTGATTATTAATTATTATTATATTTTGTTTAATACTAACAATAGGTGTAGTTCTTATATTTATTTGAGTTGACTTATACGTATTACAATCGTATTAATTTATAATTGTTTTTTAAACTGATGCTTATTAGTTATAAATATTTAATAATTTTTAAATACAAGTTTTCAAATTCGATTCGTTTTCAAAAATTCAAGTAATAGTATACACAACATACGCTATCGGTTGCTGTTCAACCGAATGGTGAAGCAGCTACTTTTTATAACATGCAACACTACGTACAGAATAAGTAATTGTATTGATATATTGTTGATATTGAATAGTTCACGTGCAATATTACTGAAATTGTAACACAATATTAATATTGATGCGCAGAAAAACATGCACGGACAATTGATTTTCGAGCTACTAGGGTGCAATTCACCGCGAAAAAATAATATTATCAAGACGTGCGATGGATGGTTATTTTATTTTTTATTATTATTATTGAATGTAAACGTTCGGGCGCACGGTCGAACAATGATGGGCGGTTGGAGGTGGAACATTAAGTATAACTGACGAGTCAGGGGTAGAAAGGTAAAAGATTTTTCACACTACATTAGCCGGACCATTATCAGACGTATATTCTCCGACCAATGGCGATGAAAATGCATGCACAAAAAACACGTTATTATTAAAGGCGTCGATTTTTAACCGCGGATTAATTCGCCGCAGAAGCGTAAAACAGCAAAACGTAGTACGTGCGAGATCGAAAAATAATCTAATCGTTTATATTACAATAAATCATAATGCTTTCAATATGCTATTATTCCCTACCCCGTTCGAGCGGCACAGCCAACGCATAAATATTATTATCAATGCCGCGGACAAACGAAACCATATTTTATAATGCCTACTGCAATGGTGCTCGTGTAGGTAATTATTCGAACGGATTTTAAACGCATACGTCTGCGGCAAGTGTTTCTCGACCTTTGCATTATTGCACGACGACGCATAGTTAAAGTATATTTTCATATATTTTCATATCATAGATCAATAAAAGTAATGCCCACTCCCCTAAAAAAAAAAAAAACCTCATTCAATATCGCAATAGTAATTGTATTTATTAATATATATATTAATAAGAAATAATATGGAATAATGAAGTACATTGAAGTTTTAAGTGGTACGAATCATATTTAATTATAAAAAAATATCAATAACAAAAATGTTTATGTTCGTTTTGTGTCGTTTAATATATTAGGTGTATATCTTCCGATATAGTGGTCGAGAAACATTAGTCTACATGTTGCTGACAGTAGTTATTCGTTTTTCATCAGCATATTAACTTACATTCTGCGTTTATTTATATATATATATATGAATGTAAATGTGTAGAAGTAGTTTATATAGCGGTCACCAGAAAGTTTTAACATGTGGATCATTTCCGTCCTTTGACGTTAATCGAATGCATAAACACGTTCAGGGCCGTACTCAGACCAATTTTCTCGGATCATTTGTCTGGGGCCCGACTCTAAACCTATTTTTGAGGGGCCCGGGCTTATAAAAAAAACAACTTTTAAATTATGACTGGTCCGGATCTAAAAAAAAAAAAAAATTTAATTTAAACGGGCCCCTGCTGAAGCTTAGGTATCGACCAATGGGCACTTGCAAATCATTCGATACATCGAAAACATTCAAGACTATTCAATTATTTGAAAACCATTTATAGCGACTGAATACTTATATTCTACTTTCATCTTATCAAGAAATGTATTTTATGTAATTTTGGATGAAGTAATTACAGATATAAACAAACGATTCGAATCACTGAAAACAATTATTGATATCTTCTCGATTTTTTGGGAGTTTAAATATATGACAGAAGGAGAAATTAAATAAAATCTAGAAATCTGGTTTTGAAGTATAATAATGATTTACAAGAAGATTTAGTAGATGAGCTACAAAGTCTTAATATATTTTATGCTACTAACTTTGGATACGAGTATAAACAACTAAGTCCCTTAGAATTGCTGAATCACTTGCAAAAAAATAATCTTGCAAACATGTTCCCTAATTTATGTATTGCATTACGAATCTTTATTCCTGCAACTGTTACGAGTGAGGAACGATCTTTCTCAACATTGAAAAAAGTGAAGAATATATTATGATCAATAATGACAACAGACTCTCAAACTTAGGTGTTTTAGAAGTGGAGGCTCAACTGGCAAAGACGATTGACATGGATGGGGCCATTGATGATTTCGCAGTGAGAAACGCAAGAAGAAAAACCCTAGACTATTTTAAATTTAGGGTTATTAATTATATAAGTTATGATTATTAATATTACGTTTAATATTATTATGCCGTTTTGTATATTATCATTTATGTATTCGAGTATTTAAATTTTCTTTGAAAAAGTTTCAACATTGTTTAGATAAAAATAAAACATATTAAAATAGCATGGTTGCGATAATATTTGATGTTAAAATAATTAAATTATTAGTTTTATACATAATTAGACAAAATTTCCCTACCAAAACCAGGAAAACCTCTTTGAAAAAAATAGAGGGACCAGAAGGTTTAGTTTGTCCGGAGTCCGCCGAAGCTGAGTACGGCCTTGCACACGTTATGATTTAACAAAAAAACACTTAAGTCGATTTATGTGCATCTGTATCATATATATATATATCAATATTAATTTATCTTTTAATATTCATATCTGAATTACAGGTAAGGGAAAATTTGTTATTGAAACGTAATTAGCGTTATCGCAGTGGTAGGATTCGTAATTGTTCTCTTCAAAATTACGGGAAAAATAAATTTTTCAATTTAAAAATCAATAACCAAATAGTGAACAATAAAAATTATACAATCAACTTCAAAATGTTACTTAAAAAAAAAAAAAGTTGCAATAATAATTACGTCGTTTTAAGCATAATTGTACTTCTATAATTTTATACTCTGTACAACAAATAGTTGGGATTTGCATAACAGGTTTAGCAATGCAGAGTTTTGGTTGCAACACACGTGCTTATATATTTTTTCAATTTAAAAAATAATTTATATATATATATATATATTTATATTTTTTTGTATTATAATTGTTTTTTAACAATAACACTGTTTTTATAACTGCCACATGTGTTCATTAATGCACATAAATCGACCGGGGAAGCGAGCAAACGTAATAAAACCTCGTATTCGAGATAACGATTTCTGACGAGACGACGTATTGATACGGTTACCATTTGAAATTAAATTAAAACACACGGATTTTCACTACGTCGGTATGCATGATATCGAAAATATGTACTTACCCTGCACACGACGACCGAGTCTTGTCCTCTCCACGATATTCTGATCGGTTCGTATGTCCTGTCCACGAATCTGGTTGACTGATGCAACGATGCCATTACCGATATCCAGGCGACGCATTTCAGAACCCTAGGCATGGTGCACCACGTTCTCGCCACCGGTGCATGACATACGTATATGTACCTGTATACAGAAAAAGTAGATTATTATATCACTGCAACGTGTGCTGTGTACAAACGCCCAACATTGTTTGCCTTGTCATCAAACTCAATACAGTTCAAGTGATTAACACAAAGGAATGGATTGACTCGGTCAGTTGTTCGGACAATTCGAAATCGTCCGATACGACACCAATATCGTGTGCATACTTTTTCGTCGCACCGTTGCGTAACGCGACACTTGTATAAGAGACGAATGCATATCATTTGAATTGTAGAATTTTCGTCTGTAGCGACGAGAAAATCCGAAAAAACTTATGCTCGTAATAATATTTAGCAAACAGTGTATGTCGAGTCAACTGACGAAAACAATATTCAAATGGAAAACGTATATTTTTCATATTTACTTGTGTACCTATTTTGCTCTTTTTGCGGATTGTTTCGAAACAAAAATTAATAAGCTATCCGTAACGGATTTTAGCATGTCATAAAGTTTAATAATAATCAATTGTTATATATAAGTTGGTATGAACATGTATTATCATAAATGAGTGTATTTTACGGAAAGGCTTATTAAAGTTCTATTATTCTGTTGCACCCTCCAGTTCACCGTAAATTATTCCACAACAAAGTACGCGTTTAACATATTATTATTATACATCTGAGTCATTTTATACGTGTGTTTGAGGAATTGCGTTTACTCACATGTGCAATATTCTGCAACTCATCGTATCTAATTACATATTACCAAAAGTTCGATTATTCGAATGTTATGTAAGTAGTAAAATACGTAGTCAACAGTTTTTAATAATAATATTTAACTCACGTTAATTTCACAAATTTCAAAAACAAAATTATATTTATTCAAAAAACGAAAAAATTATAGCATTATACTCATATATATTTACAATTTGGATATCGAATGTTTGTATTTGTGTTTTTTTTTAAAATTAAATAAATAAACTTCGAATAATAACACGTTATAAGTATGTAAAACAATAATTCATCGTTGGCTTCAAAACTTGTAGAAATATATGTGATTTGTATTATATTGGTTGGCTGAAACGTTTTAAAATTATATATAAGAAGAGTCATTAAACGTGTGGAAGTGAACGCATATCGATGAGAAAACAGCAATTATAAACAAGTCGCTAATCGCTTTCGAATTTAATTACCAAATTACGTGACTTGTAATTTTCCCAAAATGAGGTCAAATTACAGAATCAATTAAATACAATTGCCCTCAAAATACCCCATAAGCGTATTGTGTACATCATAGTCTTACGAATTTAAAACCTCCAATTTTTCTATCGATGAGTAAATAAGCTCCAGAGAAATAACTTAATAACCTATTAAAAATAGAAACTTATACATTTAATGTCTACATGTGTTATTTGTTTGAGCAACTTTCAATTTTCTATATCAAACATTAAAAAATGTATATAATCAACCTTATGTTATATCACTACAATCAACAACCAAATATTTATTTTTTTAAATTTTATTTTTGTATTTTAACTTTTAACACAAAGCTTTTATTCACAATAATTGATGAGCTAATTTAATAATTAACGCAAAACCGAAAAGATTATTAAACTTTGTCAAAAGCTTCTTATCGCAAGATCAATGTTTAGTAAAGAATAATATTTTTTCATGTTAATTTAGAGGTTTCAAACTATAAAAATTCTCTTGTTTTGTAAATAGTTATAAATATTGACATTATTTGAGAGGAAATGAGTTGAACGAAATATTTTATTACTTAGAACGTTTTAACTTTCAACTAATATTTTATAAATAACACTTTTGTCTAGTATGTGATATATATATAGTATTTCATGAGACGAGACGCCTGCTAAAATATAACTCTACTTTCTCATAAAACGTTTTTTTTTCAAAACAAACTTCTTAAACATCTTAGGTTTTATAAAAATCAAACATTTTCTATGAGAAAAGAAATAATTAGAACAATAAGACCATTTTAAATAAAACGTGAAATATGATATAATCAATTGCTTTAAAAAACTAAAACGTTCATTTTCTATTAAATCCCTTTTACAAATTCTTGTTAAAAATATAAAATTTAACTTAGTATAAATTAAATCAATACATTTGCTATACATGTACATATTTACCTTTAGTCTTATTCACTAAAGCTAGTTTCTATAATATTTCTATATTCTATATATAATGTAAGTATATTTAGTTAAAACCAAAAATTATACTTACTATTTAGTTATAATATTTTTATTCTGAAGTACAAAATATAAATATAACCGTATTAAAATATGAAGTCCATTATTAATTTGTAACGTTAGGTTTGGAAAGGTTCGTACAAACTAGAGGAGATAAAATATGGACCTAATTACAGACTACGGACTCATATTTACTAATGAAATACCATTGTTCTTGTTAGTCAAAATAAAGTTTTAAATTTATCTAAATTCAACAATTAAATTCTACAGCAAATATTCACACATTAATGATTATGAATATGTACTTAAAAAAACCATGATGCGTGATGGTTATATTTTAAAATATGATCTCTGCGTAAGTATTATTTCCTTCATGTTTGACACTGTTTTAACAGAAAAGAATATTATTAGGTTTAATTTATATGGGCTTTATATGTATAAAATTAAAAAAAAAATTACTTTCCAAAAATACCTCGAAGTTATATTTTCTCTACTAAAGTACTACTTCGAGGTTGTGAAAAAAGTTTCATTAGTAAATCATTACAAACTTTAGGACTTTGGTATAATGTGAGCATATTTAATACTTTATCTGTATCCACAAATACTAATCACTTTTTAGTCTTGAGAAAAATAAAATGTTGCGGTGTTATATTTATTCTATACTTTCCTAGGTTAGATTAAGTTATCCTAAAACGAATAAACTACTTTAAAAAATACTGAATGTTACTATTTCTTATAAAAATGTTGTGATATTCTAACATTACTTATGATTTCAGTTCATCAAATAATCGTGTTTATGTATTTAAATAACTGTTAACTGTATTTATTTTATAATGTATTCAATTGATAATAATTCAATGAATGTAATGCATTTTAATGCCGTATTAAACGTTTGAAATTAAATATTATACATTGGACGACAAAGCGAGATGTAGATAGGTATTAATAAAGGTATAGGTATATGTGGTCTATATATTTTGCTAGCTTAAAATAAAATATACTTTAACCTTTAACATTAACCTAACCTAATAAAGTATACTTTAATATACTTTAAAAGACCGAGGGAAAATGTTCATTAACTTAAGTTTATGTATATAGTTTTCATAATAATATTAATTAATTTCGTATAAAGGTAAAGAAGTTTTTATTTTAAATTCCGATCAGGTCAAAGGTTAACTGTATTTATTCAGACGCCTATATTATTCGGTTTTGATGATTTTTATACATGTGGATATTTTTAATATTTTAAAATTATTTGTATTCACTCGTGTGATCCTATAGTATAAGAAAACCGAAAAATTTATATCATCTTAAACAATTTCGTTATGTAATTACTTTTTAGGTTCTAATAGTTTTTGTAAACGTGTACGGAAATTATGTTTAATACTTGAATTGGCATTTAAATTTAAGTTGAAATTTAGACAGTCGAATATTACATGCAGATTGTTTATTTATTGGACTAAAATGTGTAAAATGTGATAAGTATAACTAATTGAAAATATTTCTATTATAATAATGTAAATACATAATAGACATGTACCAATTTTCCTGATACGAACGATTTTGAATTTGCATCTGATAAAAAGTTTCATGTATAGTTTTAGGTCAATGCTATATTAAATTTTTATATTTTTTAATGTAAATTTAACTCGTCTCGATGTATGTTGAAGTTAAAAAAAACTGCTGGAAAATTGTTTATAAAGATGTAAAAAAGCAAGTTTGATTTTTTTTCACGAAACCGTCATATGTTTAAACCAAGCTGTATTCTAAACGATTTCCACAATAATTAACAACATTCGTTATATCATTTATTTTACATGTTTTAATTTACTAATAATGGTCCACTATGTTCCGGAGAGATGTGAGGTGGATAATGGTTCAACATCTGATCACTGTACAGCTTTTAATCTCAATTGCTTTCTAATATTTAAATTTCGTGTCATAAATGTAAAGTTTTTATTACAAATAATAATATGAAAATGTCGTCCAGCAATTTATTGTACAGTATGCCTGCTGTGAATACTGATCACGAATTCCTTACCGATTAACTATATAAATAACCGAATATCGCCGTTACGGTGCGCGATTAATGCTTTCAAATATTATTTTCCGCCTCGTGAATTATGCCAAAATAGATGTTATTATAACATCAGCCCCGATCATAAGACACGAGGTATGTTTACAACCTGTGTTGTGTATATGGGTTACAGTGCTGTTACCCGACTGGTTATATTATGTATACAATATAGATAACTATTGAATATTGCTCGAGACACAGACCTGTCAATTATTCCAGATCGGAGTTTATTCCTGTTTAATGGATACGACGGAAATCACACGAGATTATATTGAAATCGAAAAACAATAGAGAGCATCGCATCGTATTCTACCTGGATTCTGCTGAGAAATAACAATACGAACGCTTCTCGTAGCGGCGGCTGCCTGTTTACATTTGATTTTTCAGAACAGCTCGCGTAAGCCTTTTTTCACGATTTTTCCATCTGAACTTATCAAAGATTACATTCCCTGTGCACCACGCTTGTGAGTAATCAGAGTGTTGGAAATAAATTGTGGCGGACGCATAATAATATACCGCACACGGCCGACGAACGGGGTTGAACGGTGAGTTGAACGAACAGAAGAAGTGTTAGTGTCGCGCAATATATGTTTACGTAACATAGGTGCACCTGACGAAAGTGTGCGTATAGTTTCTCGTACACCAAACATCTTCCGAACGAAATTTATTTCGGTTTGGTTTCGGAAACTACAGTTATATAAATACGGATCGTCCTCAGCCATAAATACTTTATACTTCATTCTATAAATGTTTATC